GCACAGGTTAACATAAGGCACTCTACCAGTGGCACAGGTTAACATAAGGCACTCTACCAGTGGCACAGGTTAACATAAGGCACTCTACCAGTGGCACAGGTTAACATAAGGCACTCTACCAGTGGCACAGGTTAACATAAGGCACTCTACCAGTGGCACAGGTTAACATAAGGCACTCTACCAGTGGCACAGGTTAACATAAGGCACTCTACCAGTGGCACAGGTTAACATAAGGCACTCTACCAGTGGCACAGGTTAACATAAGGCACTCTACCAGTGGCACAGGTTAACATAAGGCACTCTACCAGTGGCACAGGTTAACATAAGGCACTCTACCAGTGGCACAGGTTAACATAAGGCACTCTACCAGTGGCACAGGTTAACATAAGGCACTCTACCAGTGGCACAGGTTAACATAAGGCACTCTACCAGTGGCACAGGTTAACATAAGGCACTCTACCAGTGGCACAGGTTAACATAAGGCACTCTACCAGTGGCACAGGTTAACATAAGGCACTCTACCAGTGGCACAGGTTAACATAAGGCACTCTACCAGTGGCACAGGTTGCCGATAGCTATAAATTCAGGGGCGGTTCCAGGATTTTTGTGAGGGGGATGACTGGGATCAATTATGATTTAATTTGCACGTTCAGGCAAACAGCAAACGTCAGAAAAGATTACGTGACCAGCGTTTTGGGGGTTTACCGTTACAGTTTCGACGGGAGAGTGGGTCATTTTGGGGTTTCCATAATCGTGAAAAGTCGCTCTTTCAAATGACTACCAAAAGCACAAGGTCAGGCTCAGGCACGAAATTCTTCAGGTCATTGGTTCAGCTCTGTATTTGCCGTAAACGTGACGGCTAAATTGCTGAGCCTTTCAGTAGACTCTTCGTACACATCTTCATATTCAAAAATCTTCAGAAGCTCACAAGTATACAACTCATCAAAAAGGGGTATGACTATAATCACCCCTGTCACCACCCCTAAATCCGCCCCTGAAATTTKCTAGGTGTATACATATCTTTCGATCTGTCTTGGAACCAATAGTCAAAATGGCAGGAGTCAGTCTGATATGGTTGAACTTTTTTAATTTTTTTACTTTTCATTTTGATTTTATAGYCCAGTAGATAAATATTGACACCCTGTGAAAGACATGCTCATTCAAGACAACTGAAGGTCAATTGTATACCCTAAT